TCTTTTTGTCGTAAATCTTGAATTTACTAAATCTGGGAGTTCGACAAATTTACAGAATTTGGTCAAAGAAGGGCGCAAAAGGAAGAAAGATGGCTACCTTCGCAACGAACAAGTTGCTGTCGTCATCGTTCCCTTCAATCCAATAAAAGAATGACGAAGTGTGACTTCAGATCTGATATGAAGGAAAGTCGTCGAAGGATGCAAAGAAGTTATTTAGCGACTCGTTCTAAACTACCTCTCACGCAAAGCAGGTGAAGTCAAATAGCAACGAACAACTAGAAAATAACAAAAGCAACCCAAGCAAGCCTGCGACTAAAAGAATGCAGTGATGAACAAGTATTGCCAGAGAACATAGGAAAAAATTTATTTAGTTTAACTAAGTTAACTAAAATTAAATAAGAATATAATGTAATTAATAAATAAATAATTACTTAGATTATTGATAATATTCTCCTAAAAAGGATTAATTAATAATTAGCTTAAATTCTAATGATATTATTTAAAATGGTTAGTTACTAATGATAATTAAAATTAATAATTAATAATTAACTCAAAAATAATTAAAAATATAATCAATATTCCAAATTAATAAATTATTTCACAATAATAAATATTATTATTAATAAGTAACTTATACTTAAATGAAAATTAAAATTAAAATACAAATTAAATTTAATTTTTAATGAACTAACCGCGCCTTAAATCTTAGATTACACTACAAAACGGTTCTACAAGATTTAAAAAGATTTAACACTTATCTTTCCAAATAGTTTTTAGGACTTAACTTTAGCAATATTTAATAAATCGGGATTTATAAAATTTAATGAATCCTACTTGTTGCCAAATAGCCACTAAAAAAGTGAAATCTTACATGTCGTTGAAACGAATCTCATTGATACAGAGTTGTGCTCACTCCCACCTTCGTCACCTTTGAGCACGGCTTCAATGCACTCCTCTCCACCTCTCGATCACCTTCTCTAAAAGTCATTTCCTCGCATGGCTTTAAGGGGACAAATTCACCCTAGACGCCAAACCCTTCGCCTCTTCGATGAGAATGAACCGACATAGTTATGTTCTTCTCGCATAACAACGGGACCTTCTCGCAAACGATCCATGGTCGACAAGGCCACAGTCCCCCTCCCCCTCCTAGTCTCTTCTTGCCTCCCTCTCATAATTCTCTATTGGTTTAAAGTGTTGAATCCCTCCTTTTATCTCTCATAACACTTAATGACGAAATGTGAACAATCCCTCCACCTTCCTTGCAACTCCACGCGACGGAATCGACGCCCTTTATCTCATCGCGACACCGGCTCCTTCGCCCCTTCATCTTCCTCGTCTCCAACTGATGGAGCCTACTACATCACCAAGTGACGGAATGAGCTTCATTCTCCTCGCGATTCTAAATGATGAAATGATGTAGGCAAGGGGGGGTTGATGTGCTTGCTGCTGGTTCCTGTTGGTCGGGTTCATTCCCACCAGTTTTGGCCTCTTCGATTCCTATGCCTGCCCGGTCCCCCCCCCCCCCCCCCCCCCCCTCCCCCCCCCCCCCTCTCTATTTTGGCCTCTTTGGTTCCTCTGCCTGCCCGGTTCCTTCCCCATGGCGTTGTCTGATTGGTTGTTGTGTCCTGCTGGCCCTTCGGATGCTACTCCATTCGACTGATGTTGGCCTTTCTCTCCCCTTTGCTGATTGGATAGTATGGGCGGCTGTTTGGCTCCCTTTCCTCTCTTATATATAGTGGCTGTTTTGAGGCATTTTAAGAGCATATTTTGGTAATAATTTTTTTGGAAAGAAAACTTGAGGGTTTTTAGATAGCTTGTGAGCTATGTATCCCCTTCTCTTCTCCTCCCTATGACCTCGTCTCAGGCTTCTTACCTACTTCCCTCTACAAGTTTCCACTCCACTTGTATCTTTCTTCTCAAGCTTTTAAAGGTGTTGGTTAGCCGGTTTGGTAGCATTTGCCGAAGGAGTTTTGTGGTGGACGTTGGCTCAAAGTTGCTGTGGTGGACCTCTGATTTGCATGTCTTTAAGCACTTATTATCTTACCTACTATTTCGATGTACGTGCGGTGACTACTAGCTGGTTGTTCTGAGGAGAGTTTGTTTTATTTTTATTTTAGTTTCGTTTTTGTCTAACTTTGGTTTGTTTGGTGTTGGCTTTCTAAATTTTGAATCGAGAAAAGTTCTATTAGCCATTGTGTTCTCCGTTTTGGTTTTTCTATCTAATTGATTGAATAAAATTTGGTATTAGAGACTAGGTTTTTTTGTGTCTTTTTTTTTTGAGTCTTTTTTTTTTAAGTCTTGAAGAAAAAATGAAAAATCATAATGTAATCAAGTCTGAAGTTAGAGAAAGTAAATCAGGTGATTTAAAAGAAACTATTCCTAAGAGCCAATGGATCCCTCCTCAAGGAAGTTATTCATACTCGATACAAATCGAATTTCTCAATATTCAAGAACAACTGCAATTATGTGTCGAGAGATGAGTCTAAGAAGCATTCACTTCTAGCCGAGTTTAATCGAGAAAAAGAGATAATTGAAAAGAAGTACACTATTTTGATTCAAGAAGAAATGTCGGATCTCTAAAATTCTGAAGTCAACTCATCAGGAGATGAGATTTTTCTACCGGAGGAGAATCCAATGTAGGCAAAGGGGGCGGTTGATGTGCTGGCTGCTGGTTCCTATTGGTCGGGTTCATTCCCCCCTGTTTTGGCCTCTTCGGTTCCTCTGCCTGCTTGGTTCCTTCCCCTTAGCACTGTACGTTCGGTTGTTGTGTCCAATTGGCCCTTCGAGTGCTGCTCCATTTGGCTGCTTGTTCACCTTTTCTCTCCCCTTTGCTGATTGGATAGTATGGACGACTATTTGGGGTGTTTGGCTCCCTCTCCTCTGCTATATATAGTGGCTTATTTGAGACTTTGGAGAGTATGTTTTGTGAGAGAATATTTGGAATATAAAAACCTAAGGGTTTTTAGATAGTTTGCAAGCTATGTCCCCCTTTCTTTTCTCATATCTTTGACTTCGTCTCGGGCTTCTTACTTACTTCTCTCCGCAAGTGTCCACCCCATTTTTATCTTTCTTTTCAATCAATATAAAAGTTTTTTTAAGTGTTTTATGTTCTAAAATTATGACTTGTAAGCTTTTTATTATTAGGGTTTGTGTCTTATTTTATGTTTGTCATGTGAATCGTATGAGTTGTATGTGTTGACCTTCTAATATAAAAGTTGTGTTGTGTCATTGTAAGGTGTTTTAACCTTTTTATTTCAAGTTGTAAGGTGTCGTTGTGATGTGTTGTTCTTTTATTTTGTTTATTATTAGGGTTTGTGTCTTATTTCTTATTTAATTTTGTTAATTTTGAAAGGAAGACAATAGTTTGTTTGCAATTTTAGGTTTTTCCAAATTTTTTATTGCATCATGAAACAAACTCCTTCGCTCTCTTCATCTGCTTCGTCCACTTCATCCTTACGTAGCTTTGATGCTCATCGATTTGGTGAGTTCAGAATATTACACATGAGAATGTGGCTCTCGGGGAATCCCATCGCACCAACAATAAAGCCTCCACAAAATAATTCTAAATGTAATAACTAGTTTGACTAGTCATTGATGCCTTTTTTATAGATTTTTTTAGAACATTTAAAGGAAACTCTAGAACTTTGTCATGGGACTTCTCTTCTTACAAATAAATGATATAAAGATATGAAAATATTGAAGAGATAATGAAGGAGTTAGTACTTCTATTGCTATATTACATCGCGGCTTTTATTGAAGAAAATCAAAATGTTCATCAAATCAAAGGTCCTTATTTACTCTATTTGGTGATCTCTTCATCTCTTAGTCACTAGAATATTCTGCATATTACTTTACCTTGTATAATCTATAGAAGAAATTGTGATCTTATATTTGTTAAGTGATAAACTTAGGTCAACAGTCAGCACCAAAGTCTTGAAAAACTTTGAAAGCTTTTGCTTTATACCTATTAGTGTTAGATTTTGGAAGACTTGAAGAAGCTTTAAATGTAAATCTTGATTGTGTTTGGTACTTTTGCCATAGAAAGAAGTGGGTGATGAATCAAGAAAGAAAGCATAAATATTTCTCCACCTACTAGAAAGAGTGGAAGAGAAAAGTTAGTGGAATCCTAAATAAGGGTGTGCTTGGGCGTAAATGTAAGTTGGTTATATGCTGAACCACGTAAAATATCAGTGTCCATGTAATCTGTAGTTTAGCTCTTTCATTCTTGCACAGCTACTTAATAATTTTATATAATTAAATGTTCATGTCATAATTAATTTGTTAACTTCTGTTATGCTCATATGATCGAGTAAATCTAATTCCTAGTGCTCAAACTTATTATACTCACTATCCCTTATATGTTGTCATTATATTTGTATGGATATTTGTTTTGGGTATCCTTGGTATCTGATAATCTAATTAAATCACAATTTATGTTGTTGAATTGATCTATTTATAACATATATTATGAATCAAAACATAAATAAGGACCATATCTCACCATAATCCAGCTTCTCTAAAAATCTATCATTTAAGCGTATATATTACATAATGCATGCTTTATCATGCCAATGCCTCAGAAAAAAAAAAAAACCAAAAGCATCAAGATATTAGGCTACGTTTGAATTTTGGGACTAACGAGTAAAAATGAAGATCAGTATGAAAATATCAAATAAATTGTTATGAATCTTTAATCAAGTAGAGTCACCAGTTCAATTTAATCATTTTCACCAGTCCAAACACAGACTTAAGCAAACTTTCACAACAATGTGGCATAATCCATCTTGAAATCACAAGAATTTTGCAAAAGGACAGACCTCACACAAATTCAATGGGAGAAATGCAAGAGGTCCTCGGATGAAAGACAACTATGAAATCTGACAAAGAAAGCAAAGCTACATAGAAGTTGGGAATATTAACTTTCAATCAATGAAGTGCCAACCAAAATAAAATGAAAAACCTAAAAAAGAAAAAGTAAAAATTTACATGAAGTTACCAACCAGTTATGTCTCGAAACCCTTGGCACCAAAATTGCAGAAGCAAGAGTATTCTTCTAATGTCACCCACACAAGCCTTGATTATGTGCCCAAGAAGGCTGTGGGATACATGAAGCTTCTCAAAAGCACAAACCTATAGAGACAATATGAAAATCAACTTCTTGACTCCGATTAGAATATTTAAGTTTCAAATTACATATATGACTTGCTTAACATTATCGAAACCTCAGATATCAATTACCATGGATGCATGGTTAAGTAGTTCATTGTATGATGGAGCTTTGAAGTCTAAGACCGCTCGATCCAGGAGATTAGGTAAGACAGGCTGCTTGGCTACACAGTGCAGAAATTTATGAACTAAAAAATGTCAATCACAAGTGTTATGACCATATTGAAGTTTGATTAACACTCACTATTGCTTGTTAGTATGATGGGCCTTTTCGTTGTTTCTGCAAGTTTCAATATAGTAGAAATAAAGCCATGATCCTCATCAAAAACAACATCCACTTCCTCAAATAGAAAGAGTGTTTTATTTGCAATGTGAAAATGTGAACTCTTCTCTGAAACATTCTCTGTACTGAATAAGCTTGAATCCATGTTAATTGAATCGGCTGCAAATCCATTTTCTGCAATAACAGGCATACACGATTGCAAATCCTGAATATCCTTACTTTGTTGATTTGTTTGATCCTCTGCTAGCCTGAAAGATGAAATATGAGAATCTCAAATAAGCCCTGGAACAAGAAAGAAAACTCAAATAAGAGCTGTAAGAAATCTCGCATACACAGCCCCGACAATAAATCCATGTACACAACTTGGATCAAGAAAGAATACTCAAATAATCCACAAGAACAATAACATTCCTCTGATAATCAATAGTCAATCAATCAATGATCCAAATACAAGCAATAAATCCCAATTTATAAAAAAACATATGATCATAGTTTGCAATGATAAATTGAAATTTCGAGCTCCTAAGAAATTTCATATAAAACGCAAGACTGAGAGAAGGTGAGGAGGAAGAATAAGAATATCGGATTGTTCATTTCATTTTGTATGCCCAAACAGCTCCCAAGCGAGGCTATTTATATACAATACATGACCATAAACTAACTATTTAATCTTCCACCCTATTAATTACCTAATGACTAACAAATACTCATTAATATATTCCGATCATATCCTTATTTACACCTAAAAAGCCAATCTTACCCTCAAGTTTGAACTGAATAAAAAAAGAAGCTACGGAAGACAATATAGATCCAAGTGAGGAATCAATGTCAAATCTTTAGGTTAGGGCACGTAGGTGCAAATGTTAATGAAACTGCAAAAGATGGGTAGCCATCAAGCCATACTTCCAGTAAAAAATTTACAATGGCATTTGAAGTGATAACCATTCTTATAGTTATTCCTTTTCGTCATGAAATCGTTATAATGTGATTGGAGTTGTCTTGTTCAGGCATGGAGAAAGTGAAGACAATATAAACTCAAGTGATGGAACAAGAGAGGATGTGAGGATCGCCAGTTGAATCAAGGAGTTCAAGCAATTCTTGGGATTGTGGATTGAACTGTTGAAATATTCAAGTATTGTTAGCACCCGTGATTTGCTTCTATATGGCTCCATTAGGGTTTCTCTATTATAGGATCATTGGTTCCATTGATTACTTGCAATCTACGAATTCAATTATTGCTTATGTTATGCAATCTCTAGGGATTTGATAATTTTTTTATTTATCTTATAATTTTTTATAAACAAATTGAGACAAGATTTGATGCTTATAAGTTCCTTAATTGTTCTTAATTTGTATTGTGATTAAATGATATCAAGTATGATATAATTTCTTTTAGTCTTCTCCAGAAGCAATCAAAAAGATTTTCGAGCAAAGTTATCTCTTTATAAAAAACATGAGGTACCATTTTTTATTTGAAGTTTTTTTTTTTCTCTTCCTCTATAATTTCTAATACTTTATTTGATTGTCTGACCAAGTTTTGATAAATTTAGTACAATCTGATTTTTGACTGGGGAATGATTATCAAACAAACATTTAGTTTTCATGCGTATGAATTTTTCTATATTATTTCAAATAGACAACCACTAAATTATCAAGTATACCGGAATTTCATGTTTCTAGCTTTTATTTAAAGACATGAGTAGTTATCTAAATTAAGGATTTGTGAACTGTAAATATGACTAGTGATCTTGATTTTTAAGCATCTCATCCTAAATCTATTTCGGGAAACCTAGACCGTAGAACATTTTTGTATCAAGAGAAAACTTAAACCCTTTGAGAAAAAGGATTCATGTAGCCGACCCCACGTAGTTGGATAAAGGCTTGATGTTGATGTTGTTGTTGTTGTAGAGAACTTAAACCTTTCTAATCCAACCCAAGAGGTAAACAGATGAAATCATAAGAGTGGAAACAGCCAAATCCGAACCTGATCTGCTTGCAGCCTACATATGACCATGCTGCTAGAAAGAGCAATAATTTATCATTCATCAGGTTAAGAGTTCAAAACTACACGAGTCAAGCACCAAAGAATTAGTTTAAAATTTCTTTAAAAAACAATAGATTGCTGATACGCCTTCGGTTTCACAAATTAGGGATTGCCCTAATTTTCCTTCAAGGATGAAATTTCTCCACCAAATCAAAGTTAACCCAAAACAAGAAGGATGAGGGGAAGAACAAAAGAGCTTTGCACCGCAAGGGTCTGGATCAGCCGGTCCATCAATTGCCTGTCAAAATCATCTCTTAAACATTCATGTCGTACCAAGATAAAATTAGTAGCTGAAACAAAAATTCACAACATTATAAATAGGCATATAAAAGGGTATAAAATATAAATGAAGGCAGTCAAACATTACTTTCTTCCCTAAAAGGCAGAGCAAGTCATTGTCTGAACAAGATGACTTTCCAGAAAGAAAAATTGTCATAAATGCTGCTTTTAGAATCGTTATAAATGTAAATCATTATCGGATAAATAAGTAGAATTAAAGCTTTAATGAAGAAAGTAAAATCAAGAGCAAAATAGCTCAATTAAACCAACAGATTAAGGATCCAGTTGGGACAATTTTGTGTCACTTTGCCTTTCACATTGCCACCATTTTGGCATTCACCTAACAGCTTTCAAATACATTTTAGAAAATTTTGCCATCTAGAACTACTTTGCATGATAGATCTCATCATCCTACATTCTAGTTGTGCAGATGAGTACCATAGTTTCTCGTTGAGAAAATATCCAAAATGATCTCTTGACACTTTATGAATGATCAAAATATTCCCAACTATATTAAAAGATCATTTTAATCCCTCAAGTCTTTAAATTCCTCTTTAAAGAGTTGAGTGATCAAAATAGTCCTTTAATATAGTTGGGGGGTATTTTGGTCTTTTCTAAAGAGTCAAATGATCATTTTGGCCATTTTCTCATTCCTCGATTTATGATCTTCATCTTAGAAATTACATAATTACTATAAACAGAAGCTTTTCCTACAACAATACCACAATTGACTTCATAGATAGTTACAGTCATCCCAAATAAATCCTAAAGTTTTGTAGCCATCAAGTATCAGATTTCACAAATGAAGCCACATGACCTAAAATCAAATGCATTATATCAAGCCACACAACCTAGACATAGCCAGACTGCACACTGTAGTAAAAAACAATATTCTAAATGATCAGTCAGTAATGTTATGGCAAACAAACAAATTATTAGATGCCAATATGAGAAAGTTTTTATATTTATCAAACAAATGAAGAGCTACAAAATCAAAATATTCAAGGCAGAAAAAAAAAAACTTAAAGGCCAACCAGTGGGTAAGTCCAAGTGAATCCACTCCTTCGCCAAATGTTTGCCTCATGAATGCACCATTTCTCAGGCTGGATGCATTTACCTGTCCAAATAATTCAAATACAGAATGTCACCAAAAGAAACAAAGAAGGAAAAAAGAATAGTTTGCAAGATTACGATCAGCTTTTATAACCCAACAGTACAGGGAAAAGGCTATTTAAACAACCTTGATGAGAGTGATGCAATCCACATTATAGAAGATTAACATTGCTCTCTAGAAAGCTCAACACTTAAAATATTACTTGCACAAGAGCACTTGGAATGGTTTTACAAAGCACCAATCAATTCTCTTCCCGACTCATGCATCACATTGGACTGTTTCAACAACCTTCGAGAGCAAAATCAGGCAAACAGCAAATGGACTTCTCATATGTTTCCAACTATAATCATAGATATTCACATTGTTCTTACCAGGGCTCTCCTAATTGGAAATGTAGTGGGTTGGAACTTACATCATTCGTGCACCCATCCATCATCACAATTAGCATAATGCCAGCAGGATCAGCTTTATGAATACTCCTCCCATTCTTTTCAGTGTTGCATAAATGTCAACTCTAGTTTAGGCAAAGCTTCGATCTCAATTTTTTGCGATATTACCTGTGGTTCTATGGTCTAGTCATTTTCCTCCTATCTGATCTGTAACTCCTTCAGTAATACTAATACTCAAAATTTGATGTAAAAAGTTAAGACTTTTATACACCAAATTTTCACTTCACAAAAATGATTAAACTTTTTTTAAATAATTCGATATTTTATTAAATACAAGTATATTTATTTATATAAATCAATTTTAAATTAAATTATAAAACATAATGTTTTATTAGAGCAACTGTTCATTGAATTAAGTACTGAAGCATTCAAGTAAAATTCCAATTCTTCCACTTAGCTAAACATGAATTAGCAATAAGAGAAAAGGAAGAGTTCTAATTAGTTTTAAGTAATGCTAAGCAATTAGATAAATTATATGTTACTATGTTCAAAATGATGTGCGCTATTTGTGTCATATATAAACAATAACAAGCGGCCAAAAAACCACAGTGCACGTTATTGCATTTTTTATGTTTTAAATTTAAAATAAATAGTTTTTTTTATATTTATTACTTTATTACAAATTTTATTAATTAATAGTTCCTTAAATATTGAAACGGCAAGCAATCCAACTGGGAAGGCGATTCAGGTGGGGCTTTAATGATATCAGGAATGCGATCTAGGCTCAACTTTGAAGATCTTGGGAAGGCGGTCCAGGCTTGGCTTCAACGACCGCATAATCTCTCCCACTCGTATCGCATTCGAGCACTCGAGAAGGCAATCCATGCAACTTTGTCAATCTTAAGAATGCAATCCAACTACAGTTTGAGGTGGATTCAAGCATTTGGCGGCTCATAAGCTGCACCCTCTACACTCATACAAGAAGAACCAATACCCATGTTCCTAAGGCAAGCATTCCCTTACAATTCCAACCAAATTTCTTGATTGTGAAGGTATGTGCAAGAGACTACATACTTATTTATGAACATAAGCCCCTCAGTCACATCCAAAGCAATCGGCATTACCTATAACAAATTCTTCAGCCCGTAGTTCATTGACTCAATTGATGGGCGTTACTTTGGTTGTTTAAAATGGCCATTATTTTGAGTGATTGAGGTGTTGATTAATTAAACTAAAGCATTAATTTGGTTGTTTCTATTATCATGATGGTTTATTTTTCAATTTAATAGTATTTTATATTAATAGATATTTTTATTTATTATTATTTAATATTGTGTGTGAAGTTTAAAATAGCCCACACCACATCATCCATTATGCCTTATAGTTCCATAGGGAACTATGGAGCCATAGTGCATCATTCATCATTAATAAGTATGTGTTGGGTTATTACACTATAATAGGTGGTGTGAATCAAGGTTTAAAAGGTTTAAAATTATGCAATTGGGTACTGATGTGTTTTTCATTTGTGATATGTGGCGTAAGCCTCAAGGTGTTTTGAAGTGTAAGCCTAAAAATTATAAAAAAAAAAAAAAAAAAAAAATTAGTAAAGTGAAAATAAATGTTAAAAATATTTTTTATATAATACTCAAATAATATGTTAAAGGATAATATATTAATTTTCTATTGAACTAAGAAGTAACAAATTAACATACATATGAAACAAAAAATTATAAAAGATGTAAAGTAACAAGTGATAAATTGCATGAAATAGAATTAAAATTCAAATATTATAAAAGTAAAACAATATAAAATATAGAAATTGCATAAAAGTATCATATAATATAACTTCAGATTACTTCTTTCTCAGTGCCCTACTCATCCATATTTAATTTCTAAAGAAAATTGAAATAGTTACAAGTTAAAAATCATCTACATTATCAGCATTGAGGGGGTCTTTAGTTGAATCGTCATAACAAATTGGCTTCTCCACTGCCTCATCCTATGGAGTTTAATATCTTTCAATCTATTTTTTCATCATTTCTTTCAGTCATCTTCCACTTTCATAAATATATGTCATCAATAAAAATATGATATTAATACTCAAAAAATTTTAGAGGAAAAAGTGGTGGTGGTTGCAACGAAGGCAGCAGGCTGGAGGTTGAGGCAATTGAGAGGACGTTGCTAAGGTTGAGGGGTGTGTTGACGTATTTTTCATGTTGACTCGACTCAAATTGAGTCAAATCGAACCCGATCAGGTTCGATTGAGCCCGATCAATTCAAATTAGCCCCATTGGCACCGATTCGAGTTTAATTTCATCAAATTAACTCGATTGAGAAAAATCAAACTTAAATCGCGCAAATCGATTCAAATTGAGTCTGATTTGGGCTCAATTTCAGCCTAATTGGTTCAAAATCAGCCCAATCAATTTTTCAAATCAATTCAAATCCTTCCCCAAATAAGGAAATCAAATTGACAGCTCTGATTTCATTGAAATTCCACGGTTTTCGTTATCCTGATGATTCAGTCACGTGATCTGAATGTCATGGTGCATATATGGGTGGCTTTAGTGGGATCAAGCAATAGAGATTACGTTTTGGTGTATAGAGAAAGTCGAGAGAGAAGAGCATGGGCTTTTTTAGTTTGATCTTATGCTCCTACGTGCATCCCCAAGCCAGAGAGATAGGGAGCATTTGATCTTGGTCTTCCTACGTATCCTAGCAAAACAGAAAGGGAGGGGTTGGTCTGCCTGTTGCTTGTGATCCGAGAGAGCGGGAGAAAGGGAGAGGGAGAGCCTTCGTGTCTTGCTCTTTTTCTTGCGTGTTTCTGGCCAAGTCGAGCAAGGAGAGCAACTGGGAGATCCTTCGTGCGTGCCTGGCAGCCTAACCGAGCAGGATTCTTCAAGTGTTCTTATCTGGGCCGGATTGAGTGGCTTACGACAACCTAGGAGTATCCATTTGTGCGCCTAGGTATCTGAGACAAAACCGAGTGGTTTCGTGCATCTTATTTGAGCGAATCAAGCGACGGGAAGCTCGATACCTGCTCGTGGCTGAGTCAGGTGCCCAATCTTCCTCCTACAGCTAAATCTTTCAAACCAAGAGTAAAAGAAGCCTCTTGTGCACGTATCCGGGCCGAATCAAGCAGGAAAGTCGAGCATTTGCAGCTGGGTTTCCTTTTGTGCGTGTGCTAGAGTCGAACTGAGCCAAAATAGAGAAGCTAGGAGTTCCATTTCTGCTTCCTATTATTAGTGACTAGGGAAACTAAGGTTAGAAGGCTATTGTAGCCTCTCATTTCCAACCAAAAGGACTCTCGGAGCTTCTTCTTCCTCTTCCTTTTCCTTCAATGTCGGCAATCTCGTGACAATAGAATCAACTTCCGGAGCGATTTGGACAGCAACCTCCTTCCTTCATCTCGCTTTTTGCAAGGCGAGAGCATTCCATTAGCGTCTTGACTTGACCCAGCAAGGTAAAATCTCTCAAACTTAGAAAAAATTAGGTCTATCGGCTAATGAATGTGCGTATGACGCCCCCAAGCCTTAAGAACCTAGAAAACCCTTGCATTTAATTTTCAAACCCGAAATAAACCCCCTATTTGCTGTCCACTCCACAAAATAGTGGAAATTCGGTGATTTACACTTGATTGCTCTCATGTGAGAGCTCGAGGAGGATGTTGCCACTCGTAGGGTTTTTAAATTGGGTATCCTGCACCTCCAAATGCATAAAATAGCATCATATTGCATTCCAACATCGTCACCTACAATCAAACCCTAGGTTGGGGTATTATTTGATGTCGAATCAAATGTTGAGGTGTAGATTCTTTCTAAATGTTGCATACTATGTTCTTTCTCCTAAAATTATGTGTTATGACAAAATTGGCACACAAGTATGGGATCTTGCCTTTGTTGGAGTTTGTTGATTTTTCATGGCTTTGGTGAATACTCAAAATGCATTTGATTGGGTTTTAAATATTTAGCACACTCGTTATAGGATTTCACATGAATCCCCATTGGTTCGTGTTGCAAATTCTAGGGCTAGTAAAACTATTGAAATTTATTTTGAGTTTTTTATAAAGCTCGTGGAGATGACAAGAAATGACCGCTTGTTCTAACATAAAAAATCTCTAAAATTGGAGACTCACACTCATGTATCCGATGCACCAAATCATGTCAAAATTAATTGAAAATCTCTTTAAAGCCTTATATGTGTGTTTCCTATTTTATTATGAATCAAAACACACACATTTTGTGGGACGTTTGTTAACTTGTTGTTTGCCTAAGTTTGCAAATTCACTAGCATGTTCATTAAATTCCTAAATACTTGCAAAGCAAAGGTAGAGTGTTATATGGCTTTCAAAGGGCTATGGATCATACCCCCCACCATAGACTAAAATTATCTAAGCATGAATAATGCAATTTGAAAGTTGATTGGTTAAGGGCAGTGACAAGTAGCTTAAGCATGTGATGAAACTCCTAAAATGATAAACCATCTCATGCATACTCCTATATTTCTCTTAAATCATGACAAAATTAAACTTTAGAATCTATTTAGAGGCATTTAAGCAATCTCTCCTAATCTAAAATGAGCCCAAAAAGCTCTCAAAATAAAATAGGGAGTTCC